AAGCTCAATCCCCAGGATGTACCCACCCCCACTTAGTATCTCACCCCCGGGAGGGGCTGGGGTCATTACTCGGCGCCTGAGGCATCTCCAAGAGTGGAAGTTCAAAGTCCAACACACACACACACACACATATTTGTGTCGTGGGCGCATTGAAAAAATCCATCAAAAATATATACACATAAACACACACAAAATATATATATATATATATATATATATATATATATATATATATATATATATATATATATATATATATATATGTGTGTGTTTGTGTGTGTGTGTGTACATATATATATGCATATGTATACATATGTATACAGTGTAACCCCTGATATAAGAGAGTTGTCAGGACCGTAGAAGTCTCTTATATCCGGGTTTCTCTTATATCCGGGTTTGGTCTATTTTATATACATTAACACAGGCTCTAATTTGGGACCAGAGAAAATCTCTCTTATATCCGGGTTTCTCTTATATCCGGGTTACACTGTATATATATATATATATATATATATATATATATATATATATATATGCGCGTAGGTATGTGTGTGTGTATTTTAATGGATTTCATATATAATATATGTGTGCGCGCGTTGTGTGTGTAAATTATTTTCGGCTAAAGTGTAAAGGAACAAAATGATTAAAAACTGACTATATTTCAGAGGACGAAACGCGTTGACTAAGAATAGTTTTTCTTGTCTTTTTATTCATATCTATATCTATATATCTATGTGTGTGTGTATTGAACTTTGCAAATAATGCATGAACAGACAATGTCAATAAGTGATAGTACTTCAGAGAATCGAACTTGAATAACCTTGTTTATATATATATATATATATATATATATATATATATATATAATTTACAGTAATATTGTTGATGCGCCCGCATTATATCAGTTATCTCCAGGGAATGTTTCACATTTCGCCCTTTTCTTATACCCTTGCGAATGGTATGAATCCATCCATAAGTTTAAATCTCGTAGGACAGAATGTGTTCTCTTGCCTTGGCTGTCAAGAAAAGGTCAACACTGAATTCAAAACCGGTTGAACTTGAGGCTAAAGAACTCCATCCAATAAAACCTTGCTACTGAAACTAGAACCGTACCACCAAGGGTGGTTTGGCTTTGACCCTGTACTCCACAGGGAGTTGAAAGTTTCAAGAATCTATTTGGTGAGACGCGCATTTAATAGAATGACCGCAAATTTAATCGGATGAAGAATAACTACTACAATCCATTAAAACACATGCGAAAATATTTGAAAAAAATCACCTCAAAAATTAAGTCTCTTTAGGAAACGAAGGCACAAGAAATAGCTTTACTCTGGTAGCAGAAGATATGTTTGAGTAAACTAACGTTCAATTATTCTACACACGTCAGATAATTTTTGAGTTACGGTTAGAGCCGAAAGTTTGTCCACTAGCGAGATGTAAAATTTTACGAGAAAGAAATTACGCCAAAATGTCTTCATAGCTCAGTTTAATTCTTTTTCAAAAATCATTTCGCCCTATGCAAGGCAATAATTTTTTCAGCTCAACTCACTTGCCAAGATATTACCATATGAGCAAACATTGTAATTCGTTTTAATCCTTCTTGAACAGAGAACTTTTTACAACCACACGTGTATATATATATATATATATATATATATATATATATATATATATATATATATATATATATATGTTAGCTGGTAACATTCGTGTATATATATATATATATTCAGATGACAACAGCCATGAACACTAAATACTTACTCTATAATTAACAATACCCTGATGATGACATTATGCTATGTCGAAAGTACTCGGAAATAAATACAATTTGAGCCAACAAGGTATTTTCCCCTAGTTTTTTAATGACCGCACAAAAAAAGCTTATCCGCAAATATGAAAGGATCTTATCGAGAATAAGTAGACAGAACATGTCTAAATTATTTAACGAAACCTGTCTTAATACATACATACATATATATATATATATATATATATATATATATATATATATATATATATATATATATATATAATAAACTCACATCTATCCAAACAAATATATATATTAAAGAAAACAGACCACTTTAAAGTTCCATTATAATAATTTATTTCACCAGAGCCCTTTTAAAGGACGCTGGATCATCATACGGATTACCAAGTTTTTCATAACTCATATATATATATATATATTAATCATTTCACTCTGAGCAATGTAGTTACTGAAAGAGAATTAGAAGACATTAGTGAGGAGAATGGGCCATAAAAAAAACAGGATTAAGAAGATAGAAGCTTGCGATCGGCGTTATATTTAAAGTTTTGAAGATTGTAGGTGATAGAGAAACCGGAAGAGACTTCCACAGACGAGAATTTCGATAAAAGAAACTATTAGAATAACATTTACGGTTACATCGATTTCAACAATGAAACTATAAAACCAATACTTTCAAATCTAGTATTTCGCTTAAATTAATGCGGTCGAAATATCAAGTTGGAAAACTTATCAGAACAATTGCCATGGAAAATATTTATAGACTTCACAGTGATACGGAAAGTAAATGAAGTCGAGATGCCAAGTCAGGACCTATTGGATTACAGAACCATCTTTAAATTTTGACAAGAATCTTGAGATGTATAACAAGGGCAGCAGACGAGATATGGCCTCAATATTCACGAACGTATAGTAAATTTATAAATGAGCAGCAGGGACCATGAAAAGTAACACTGCAGGAAGAGAGATGCATGTTTGTGAGAGTGGAGAAGAGGTCGGAAAATAGGGACGTCTATTTTTGGCTTTGACTTTTTATGTACCCTGGTTGGGAGACTGGATTGACTCTTAGAGGCACTGCAATGTCATGCCAATCCGTGTCAAAGGTGGAGTAAGACCCTAACTCTTCGCCATGTTTCAAATCTGTTTAATTTTCGGGGACGTATCAGATATTAAACTGATAAGAACAGATAATACACTTTGATCTTAGACAAAAGGCCATTTATTTACTTGACAAATGCTTCCATTTTATTTAAGGCTTCCTCGTTGCTTACACGCTCCGTCCAAACTATTGTCAGGTAACACACAGATACAACGAACAAAAATAACATAAAACAAAAAGTCTTATTAATACGCGTGTATTTTCTTCTTGAGTTTGATTTCTAGTCAGTGTGAATAATATTTTTATTTCCTCAATCGAGTTCTGACGATTGAGGAACAATAATGGATTGTCTCATTCTACAGAATTTGGGGTATATATTTTCCTTCTTTCTCCTTTTTTTCTATTTCTAACTAATGTAGTTGCTGCTGTATTTTTTGCCTCTTTTTATTATGTCTTTTTTATTACCCGCAAAGATCTACTTGACATTTGGATCGTCAAAGTACAGACGATATTGTGATTTATGGATTAATTTGTTTTCTACGCCTTAGAAACTCTTTGCCGGTTATTTAAAGCCAGAAAATACTTTTAAATTGTAAGATTTTTCTTTTCTTTTTTGAAAATAATATTGATTTAGTGATACAAGTCTTACTAATTAACCCATAACTGGGGGAAGAAGAGGGTGATTCATACTTTTCCCAAGGGTATTTTCGCGTAAGTGAATACAACGAATTTAAATAGAATTAGAACTCAGCTCTCCGATTAATAATTCTGAGCCATTATTCATTACACCACCTGCACACCCAAGCTTATAGCGCGCCTGTTTTCCCCATGCGTTCACTTATCTCGGTACAGACCAGGCTCGACATTGATAACTTCGGTGACCGTACGGGAAGCGATGTTTCAAAGTGGTGTGGCTGAAAGCCCCATATCTTATTTTGATGTTTCTAATTATACTACTCTGTGAACATTATTAAACACTAGCAGTAGAGCCCGGCGTTGCCCGGGGATGTAACAGTAAGAGATAGATCAAGTATCGACCATCATAAAGACTGAAAAATAAAATTGACAAAGATTATTGTTTAAGGTTGACGGACACGCATGTCTTAATTATTTTTTTTTTTTTTTTTTACGAATTGGTCAAACCCAAACTCAAACAAAAACATTGTTTTCAATCATTATGAGTCTACCGATTGAATAGAATTTTATTATAAACAATCGTCTTGTCAATGGAATTTTTAAAGAATTCTGAATGTAAAAATAAAGAAAAAAGTGTGCAAGACAATAAGAAACACTACCTGCCAAAAAAAAGTGAAGTTTTGTTGAAATCGGTTGAAAAAATGTAGGAAATTCGATCCCATATATAAACGAACACACACACACACATACACAAACAACCAACCTGGGTTTTATAATAAGTATAACTCGATAACCCGATATTATTAAGTATAACTCGATATGAGTTGTCCCCCTTTCATTAATGTCTCTTAATCGTGTTTTCAAATTGGTTTCGTGCAAAAACAATTGTTTTTCCAATTTTTGACGCTGTCAGAACCACCGTAAGGTAATTTTACGTAGTCCTGTGAAGTTTTGTTGAAATCGGTTGAAAAAATGTAGGAAATCCGATCCAATATATAAACGTACACGCACACACACACACACACACACACACACACACACACACACACACACAATCTGCGTTTTATAATAAGTAAGATTATTGGTTAAAAAAAAAACAAAAGAAAAGGAGATAGGCTGACAAAGGCAAAAGAAAGGGAGGTAGGCTGGTAAAGGCAAAAGAAAGGGAGGTGCGCTTGTAAAGGCAAAAGAAAGTGAAGTAGGCTTGTTACATTTGTAGAAGTGTTTCATCTTTTGTTGTTCCTTAGTTTTATTCCACTTTGCCTAATAAAACAAAAGAGAAACTTGTTATATTTCTCATTAAACGCTTTTCATTCATTTACTTAATCGTAGACAAACAACTCACTTTCCTTAAAAAGCTGCTGACTAAAAACATCCTTTCTGAATATCAAACCAAGTATAAAGCAAATAAACATATCAGGGATGAATTCTTTTATGAATGTTGGTTAATTGGAAGATTGTAACATATTTGGCTCTTTTGTTGTTACTTTCAATATGTTTCTTTTTTATTGGTTTCATATTGTCTCTTACGTAAACAATGGCGACTCTTCCGTTTTTCTCTCTCGTTCTCTTTACTTCACTCTATCAAATTTTTCAATCTATTCTCACCACGTGACTTGTGCTTGTTTCTGTCCTGGTCTCGTCTCATAATTTCTTTTCTTGACCATTTTCTTCTCTTCTGCTTCTATCTCTATATTTTGTCTTTACCGCCCCTTCATCTTTTTCTTTTCTTAACAACAGCTCAGTGTTCTTTCTTTCGTTTTTACCAGTTTATTGTCCTTCTCTTTGTCTTTACCAGTCCGTTGTCCTTTCTTTTGTTTTTACCAGCCTATCGTATTTTGTCTTTATCAGCCTATCGACTTTTCTATTGTCTTTACCAACCCATTGTCCTTTCTTTCTCATTGTCTTTTCGTTTGTCTTTGCCAAGCTTTGTTTTTACAAGTCCTTTTTCATTCTTTTCTCATTACCGACAAATTTCTTTTGCCTTTATCAGCCTACCTCCCTTTTTCTAGTTTTTACCAACCTACCTCCCTTTCTTTTGTTTTACCAGCCTACTTCCTTTTGCCTTTACCAGCCTCCCTTTCTTGTGCCTTTACCAGCCTACCTCTCTTTCTTTTGCCTTTACTAAATTACCTTCCCTTTTAGATTTTACCAGCCTACCTCCCTTTCTTTGGCCTTTACCAGCCTACCTGTTTTGCCTTTAGCAGCTCACGTCACCCTTCTTTTGTTTTTACCAGACTACCTCCCTTTCTTTTACCTTTACCAGTCTATCTTCTTTTTTATCTTCTTTACTAGCCTGTCGCCCATTATCTTTACCACCCTATCCTTCTTTCTTTTATCTTTACCCGCCTATTTTTGTTTGTCCTTACCAGTCCATCGTTTTATTTTTGTTCTTACCAACCTAATGGCTTTTCTTTTATCTTTACCAATCTACTGTCCTGTCTTTTGCCTTTACTAGTCTGTTTTCTTTCTTTTGCCTTTACCAATTTATTCTTTCTTTAACCATTACCAGTCTAGTGTTCTTTTCCTTACACTAAAACAACACATTCTTACTTACCTTTCTTACTACATTCACCATAATACCGCAATGTCTCTATGAAAACCCTAACTATTCCACATATGTACAATTCATTGTCTGTGGGAGGAGGGGAATAAAACAAGAATTTAAAAACTATTCCCAATGAGTATTGAAGCTTTATTGAGCGATATTTATTCTGATATCTACAGAAATGTGGCACGAGGCTAAAATGGTGAATGGAGAAAATGAAAGTCTTCATCTGTCTTAACGCTAAACTTAACTAGCCACGAACACTTACCAAACCATACAACAATATTCCTTACACCAAAACAACGCATTCTTACTTAGCTTTCTTACTACATCCACCATAATACCTCATGTCTCTATGAAAATCTTAACTAGTCCCGATATTAGCAATTCATTGTCTGTGGAGGAAGGGAATAAAACAATTTAAAAACTAGCCTCAATGAATACTGAAGCCTTATTGAACTACAACATGACGCCGTGTAGATAGCTTTATATCTTTAATTATAGAAGAGTTACAATAAAAAGAGTTGGTAGCTCGGACAGATTTTATCACCAAACCAAGTATGGCCATTCGCTGGTCTTGTATTTCATTACTGTAGCCTTTTCTTTGACTGTGCTTTATGAATATCAATAAAATTTTACGCACGAATTATTTCAAAATGAGTAGAAAGTGTTCTCTGTCTAAGCTCAAATACAGAAACGAACTTTTTTCTTTAATTATGCACAGTAAACATTTAGTTGTAACACTTAGTAGGTAACTGTCTTAATACTATAGAAGTGCCAGTGTTAACCAATTTACTTTCTTTCAATTTTCAAATCTTCGCAAATCTCTCAATATCACGCAATGTCTCTTTAGGTCACGTCCATCTTAACTTCTACAGTTAAGGTTTTAGATACCGCCTAATCCTGATGCGCAAATAAATAAATAAAATAAAATAAAACAGGGAATTGGGTTGATTCGTGAGACGCCATCTCTCTGAAATGCGCAAAAGAAAAACGGGAAATTAAAAAAAAGAAAACGTTGATAAGAACGGTGAACGCTTCTCTTTCTAGCTGTGTGAAGAGGTTAGATTAGATAAATTTGATTTCTATACTTTGATGTCATTGTACAAATGCATAACATTACCTCAACTCCAACAAATGTGTAGCTTTATAAATTGAAAGAGGAGAACGGTATAACTCATTAGATCTTTTAACAATTTACATTAGTAAACTTATTTACTAAACATTTTATAGTGTGGCTCAAGGTCATGGGATGTGTAAAATACCTCTTATTCCTAAGTGGTCACCCATCTAATTGTAATGAAATAGTTTGTGCCGTTACTAATTATAAAAGAAGAATTGAATCTTGCTTAACATTTTATTCACGAAAACGTTTTTCAACGAACTCTTGAACCTGGTTTTTGTCAAAGTATTTTACAACGATCGAAAAACGTAATAATCGCTTTGTGCAAGGGCAGGTGGAATAGAACAGATCAACCAAGTTCCAAAATTGTTTTCTGTCTTATTCTTTCTACCTTGTGTTGTCATGGAGGAAAACAGCATTTTTCCTTTAATCCACTGTGTACGCTGCCACTACTGTGCAGGGATTCATTTATGTTAGTGCACACCAAATTTATTCTTAACTGCCAAGTATGATTAGTAATTAGTGTGATACATTCATCATTACAATTGGTTCCGCAAGACGAAAATTACCGTATTTTCCGGCTTACAAGACGCACTTTTTGCCTAAAAATACGTGTGCATCTTCCATGACGAAAGTAAGGCAAACACCCAGACTCAAGTAAGCTTGGACGGTCACCTAATTGACTTGACTGATAGGGACGTGGATTTGTATGTTGAGTCATTATACTATAATGTTAGCTATCTATTCAATTCAACCTTTTAGATGATGTAACCGCAGTACTTAACTGTTACAAGTATTTTCAAGACTATAAACCTTACTGGAGCCTAGCCCCAAGCTTAAATATGCTCCGTTTACGAGCAGCAGCGGTAGCCTTTCTGCTCTTGACTAGTATGTCACTTCCTTAGAGTCTACGTGCTTGTAACTGACTTCTACAAGCGGTTACCTCACACTATTACTCTACCTCCAACTCAATCACTGCTCTCTCTCTATAGTGATTTTCCAAGCGTAGCTCAGATGTGGCACAAGGCCGAAAGTATGGGACACCCAGTGAGGATCGAACTCACTACTCGGTCGTAATTGTTCTAGCGAGACAAGCTTGCTTAACCATTACACCACGCCGAGGTGCCCGCTCTCTCTCTATATATATATGAAAAAGGGGAGGACCCCATAACACATACAAACAAAATCGGACGAGTGATTAATGTAAACAATACGTGGCGCCAGTATGTGAGGGATGTATGGTGAATATGTTGTATGAGAATGACTTTTTTTTTCTTAGAAATTTCATTCCAATATTAGGGTGCGTCTTCCAAGCCGCAGCGTCTTGTAAGCTGGAAAATACGATACGAGTCAACCTAATATTTTTAAAACGTATTTCACGCACAAATGTGATTTCGCAACAAACTTTGAATGAACTTATTAAATATTTACTTGGTGAAAAGTATAGACAAGCCACATAATAATAATTGAATTGTTTTTAAGTTTCAAATGCCCTAAAGTCTTCCTACAACAAGTAACATCACTTCTGGTTACTTTTATAAGATACTAGCAGTAGAGCCCGGCGTTGCCCGGGGATTTAACAGTAAGAGATAGATCAAGTATCGACCATCATAAAGACTGAAAAATAAAATTGACAAAGATTATTGTTTAAGGTTGACGGATACGCATGTCTTAATTAGTTTTTTTTTTGTTTTTTGTTTTGTTTTTTTGTTTTTTTACGAATTGGTCAAACCCAAACTCAAACAAAAACATTGTTTTCAATCGTTATGAGTCTACCGATTGAATAGAATTTTATTATAAACAATTGTGTTGTAAATGGAATTTTTAAACCATTCTGAATGTAAAAATAAAGAAAAAAAGTGTGCAAAACCATAAGAAACACTACCTGCCAAAAAAAAGTGAAGTTTTGTTGAAAAATGTAGGAAATCCGATCCCATATATAAACGAACACACACACACACGCACACACACACACAAACAAACAAACAACCTGGGTTTTATAATAAGTATAAGATATGAGTTGTCCCCCTTTCATTCTCGCGACAGCGATGCCTCTTAATCGTGTTTTCAAATTGATTTCGTGCAAAAACAATTGTGTTTTTCCAATTTTTGGTCAGAACCACCGCAAGGTAATTATACGTAGTCCCGTGAAGTTTTGTTGAAATCGGTTGAAAAATGTAGGAAATCCGATCCAATATATAAACGAACAGACACACACACACACAACCTGGGTTTTATAATAAGTATGATCAAAATGAACAGTTCTCTTTGTTGTCATCTGACATTACCGTTGATATTGAGATTTTTGTCGATTTATTCGGATGTGAAATGCAAAGAAAAATTTGAGTTCGAAAAAGAGACAAGATTTCTTTTTCATTCAAAAAATCCGTTTGACTATCTACGAATGCAGGAAAAAGCGAGAAAGTTTTAACACCCGCGCTTTCTGACTCTGACTGCCTTACAAACTGACCACTCTGAATAGCTAGTCGCTTTATATATTTTTTTCTTGATCAAAACTTTAAGTGTACTCAAGTTCACGTGGCAAGAATACGTACTATGCTTTCGTTCGACTACGCATAACACTGACCCGTTGTGAAGCTATGCAAGAGAATCTAAAATAATTCCAACAGCCTACTTTATGATAATACTCTGAAAAATACCCTGAAAAATACGTGTGCGTCTTCCAAGACGAAAGTTAGGCAACGCCCAGGCTCAAGTAAGCTTGGACGGTCACCTAATATCACCACAGCAAGTATGACCATTAAATATTATTAAATACAGTGTAACCCGGATATAAGAGAGTTGTCGGGACCGGAGAAGAAGTCTCTTATATCCGGGTTTCTCTTATATCCGGGTTTGGTCTATTTTATATACATTAACACAGGCTCTAATTTGGGACCAGAGAGAATCTCTCTTATATCCGGGTTTCTCTTATATCCGGGTCTCTTATATCCGGGTTACACTGTATTTACTTGGTGAAAAGTATAGACAAGCCACATAATAATAATTGAATTGTTTTTTAAGTTTCAAATGCCCTAAAGTCTTCCTATAACAAGTAACCTCAATTCTGTTTACTTTTATAAGATATCAAAATGAACAGTCCCCTTTGTTGTCATCTTATTTACTAAACATTTTAAAGTGTGGCTCAAGGTCATGGGATGTGTGAAATATACCTCTTATTCCTAAGTGGTCACCCATCTCATTGTAACGAAATAGTTTGCGTCATTGCCATACAAACAAAATCGGACGAGTGATTAAAGCAATTTATTCAGGAAATATCGAGGATTCTAAAAACGTATATGTAGATGTTCGTCTCAGTGATCCTCAACCGCCGTGCCACGGCTCACTAGTATGCTGCGCGATCATCTTAAGTGTGCTGCCAAATATTGTCACAGCATACATATACACACACACACACACATATATATATATATATATATATATATATATATATATATATATATATATATATATATATGTGTGTGTGTGTGTGTGTGAATTAGTAATTGTACAGAGTTAGTATTTGAATAAACGAATAAGTATTAAACTTTTTTCAAATAATTCTTTTCACTATTCTTCGATTATGTTATTTTAATTTTTAAATAGTTTGTTTTAATATTAATTAAGAAGAGATGAGGGTCTGCTTATCACACATTCGGCCAAACATTGAAAAAAAAACCCATGAAAAGCATCAGACACGGGTGTCATACTAAATAAACTGCCCAAATAATTGAATAGAAACATTAAAATAAAATTCCTATTTGTGTGTGTATTTTTTAAATCTATG